GAGAGAGAGAGAGAGAGAGAGAGAGAGAGAGAGAGAGAGAGAGAGAGGAGAGAAAGAGACCTACTGTTTCCTGGGTTTACAACTTGCCTTGAAACAGAAACTTTGAAATCAGATTACCATTGCCTATTAAATGTTAATCAGGAGTCACACAACTCATGGTCATTTGTGCATGATCTATTGTGTGTGTGTGTGCTCCCTCAGGTCCGGTTTGTGAACAGCACGTGGGTGTTTGGGAGGACAATGTGTCACATCAGTCGCTTTGTACAATACTGCTCCCTGCACGTCTCTACTCTCACCCTCACCGCCATCGCAGTGGACCGTCGACAGGTTTGTCTACAGCCGGACACGAAGCAGTGACACTCTTCTGTCCCTGGAGCGCACCAAAGCTTGATACCTTGATGTACAGAGAATATATAATGTGAAGTTATGCCATGAAGGTGAATGTTTTAGCTGGAAGGTGGGCTCCCTATATTCTGGTAATAAAAGAGTAATACGAGCCTTGATAAGATTCGTTTTTAGCTCGCCATAAAGTTCCATTTTTTTCCTTGGCAGTGGTGGAAAGTCAGTAAGATTAAATACTGTGCTTAAGTAGATTTTGAGGTACATTTACTTTACTTGAGTGTTTCTGTTTTCTGCTATATACTTGTACCACACATTTCAGAGAGAACTATTGTACTTTTTACTCCACTACATTTATCTGACAGTGTTAGTTACTGGTTCCTTTTCAGATTAGCATTTTATAATCAAAAACATATACGCTTTTAAAATATAATACATTTATTAAGATTGAACCACTGGTTCACAACCTGTTTGGCTTGTGATTGCTCACAAAAAGGCACCGTCTATTTGGGGCCCCTGTTTCAGATCTCTGTGAGCTGTTAGCAGTTCCACCAAAAAATTGACTTGGCCCCTCTAAATTTCTCAGTTGGTTTCATTTAAACTACTGTTACTATCCAATATTTCACAAGATTAGAGAAAAGTTAGAAATAGATTTGTGTAGCACTTTGTTTTTGAGTCTGAGACCATTTTTCTGAGACGCAAGAAAAGGTATATACTATCTAAACATATGTGTATCGTGTGTGTGTGTGTGTTCAGATGTGATCCAGGAGTTCACAATAATAATAATAATTGTATTAAAATTACACCAATCCTTTTTAATTATCAGAATTCCTTCTGTGAGCTGTGTATCACAGCAGCTGCTGCAGCTCCAACTTCTGACCGTGTTGATAAATGTGCAACATAAATTGAGTATTTTTGCAGCTACAACTTGAGTTGTCTTGCTGTATCTGAAGATTAATCGTGAGCCGGCCAGCTTTCACCCTCTACTCCTCTCACCATAGCAATGGTTAGCGGCAAAGATACCCGAGAACAGGTTAAACGCTGTCATGTAGTTTTACAGTTTTGTCTGAAATCGTTCATTGATTTTTCCTGACATGAATCAGAACAATGCAGAGTTTGCACAGTGAGAACCCCCGACGCCAAAAATCTATCAACAAAACACTCTCCACATGATAAGCCCTCATAGGGTATTACAGTAAGTAGTAAACAGGGATTTCAGACTCTCCTTAATCATTATTTTGCTTTTACTTGCACTTTAAGGACTTCTTGTCCATGTTGACATACAATATAACAGTTGATCACATTTTTTAACTCCATTTTGGTCATTTACGTGGACAATTGTTTTGCAACGCATAACACTTTGACTGTAGATAACTCAGGCATCCATACACTGCTGATGGATTTCAACTCTATTGTTCATTTTAGTTTGTTTGGTTTAATGAAATGACTTTGTTGAACTGTATATCTTGCAAGGGAGTCGTTGCCACTCTCCTCGAGGCAGTTTGCGACACAATATGTGGTTCGAAGAATTAAAACCAAAACAGAGTTAAAAAACTCTTGTGGATATTGTGAATGAACTACAGTATATTGCAGATAGAAAGTGAGACAAAAGACAATGCCAACTGCCATAATGTGTCCATGTAACATACTGCAGCGGTAGGTGTGGGCCAAATCTAGCCCCTAAAACAAAAATATTTGTAGGTATTTAACAGGCTTGTGTAATGTCCAATAAACATGAACATTTAACAACAAATAAAATCAATGATTGGCTTCTCAAACACTAATAGGTGGCAGTATCTTAACTAACAATGCCATGCTGACAAAAACAATAGTATTTTCATTCAAGCATCACTGTTTAGTAAGAGTGTTGAAATTTACTTTTGCCCTCGAATACAACTCTAAAACAACTTTTATAGATATGTTTTTGTTCTTTTTCATGACCATTCACAACTCTATTCTTTCAATTGTGTTTAGCTTTGTGGGAGACTAGTTCACCAAAGCCCACTCCAAAATCAAAGGTATTTTAGTATGCATGCACACTGAATGCTTTAGTATTTCCTTTTCCAGTGTAACACAGTTTAGATTAAAATCCTGCATAGACACGGCTACAGTGTGCTCCCAGTGACGCTGTCCATGGTGCTGAATTTGAAGGGAGAGACATCGTTGAGATGGAGAATAATGATATCATCAGGTGGATATTTCAGGAATTCCATTAGATCAGAGATGTGGGTGTATCTGTGAAAAAAAGGGGCAAGTCTTAAAATGGAGACGTGTTTGAGATTTTAGTGTTAAAAAGCTCAATGCTTTTGATGCCATTGTAACCACAATCACATTAGCCATTAGCAATGAAATATACAGCTTATTGGCCTTGAAAGGATGCAGCGCCTGAGGCTGTGATTTTTTTCCACTATATCCTTAATTACTTCTGTCATGTCCATACCCTCTTTCTGCCCGATTAGCCCAGCACGTGATCCTCTTCTGCACTACTTTAGGTTTTGCTGTACAGATTCCAAAAGATGTCATTCAATTGAATTTTAGTATGCTAGAATAGTTTCCCAGCTATAATAAAAAGTGCATAATTTATATGCATTAACCATGCTTCTTTAAGCATACACTGTTATTCACCTTTGTATGCCACACAGCAGAATAGAAGTGATGGTCAATGCAAAGGAGAGCATTTGAAATGATTTCCAGTTTAGGATTTATAGAACCAGCATATTAAAACATTTCCAAGCTGTACTTCAACAAGTTGTAGATTGTTCCTCCACAGGAGAAATGCACACTCACGGCATCTACACAACTTTGGGTCAAATTGTTGGCATTTCTGATGATGAATACATCTGCTGCTAGTGGAAATTAATTTGAGAATCTTTTATTCTTCGATGATGTACAATCTACATAATACTTTTTCATCACTATGCAGCAAAATTCAGCTTAATTAAAAAAGCGACTCTTGTCGGTAAATAAGTCTTCTTTTTCCTTTAATGTACCTGCCTTGAATTATGATTTATAATTCTCAGTTTCTTCCCCCAATATAGCAGTTTATTGGATTTGCTTATTAAAACACCCTTTTTCTTTTTTAAACCTCCGATTGCCAATACCAGCTGTGTAGCGAAATACATGTGGTCTTTATTATTTTTTTCCCAGTATTTGCTATTCTACAACCGTGAAGCAATATAACAGGTTGTATTATGGGAACTATTTATACAAAATATTGGTTTTGTTACTGTGATCCAGTATATGGCAAGAGATAGTGGAGATAGCTGCCACAGTCAGGATGTTCCAGCTACAAAAAGTAATGCACTACTGTATAATTCATACATAACACATTTAATCAATTTGTATGTAATTCATATAACCGTGAGCCAGGGCAGGTGACACAGTGAAGAGTGACAAAGTCCTTGCAGGGAGGTTGTCAAACAAATACCTCTTTGAAAAGTAACTTCAGTAACGTCAGACAGATGAATTCTTGCAGTCTGTTTTCTTAGCTAAAAGGTTCACTTTACTGTAAGCCTCATGAAGCCAGAGTTTGACAAATATAGCGGGATCTTTTGATTGTGGATCCTTTTCAGGTCTACTGTTCTCCATTACAAGTCGTGATTCTAAGTTTAATATATTTGCTCAAGCACTGGCTGGGCGATATAGCGATATAGCATAAATCTCCTCTAAAGCACTTCATAAATGCTTGATTTAACGCTTTGATGCACACAATCACATCAGTATGATTCTAGTTGTCCCTGCAACATATTGTATGTCTCCATTAAAAAATGTGTTGTTTATATTCATTAGTGGTTTCGATAGGAACAATTTTAAACTTGCATGAAAAAAGGGGGATATCACAACCTAAAAGTTAAATTGAACAAAAGTGTATTAACCAAACCATGCAACTGCACATAAGCTTTTGACAGCTCCATCCATCCATCCATTTTCCTCCGCTTATCCGGGGTCGGGTCGCGGTGGCAACAGGCCAAGCAGGCTGACCCAGACTTCCCTCTCACCGGCAACATCTTCCAGCTCATTCTGGGGGGTCCCGAGGCGTTCCCAGGCCAGCTGGGAGATGTAATCCCTCCAGCGTGTTCTGGGTCTTCCCCGGGGTCTCTTCCCAGTTGGACGTGCCTGGAAAACCTCCAGTGGGAGGCGTCCAGGAGGCATCCTAATTAGATGCCCGAACCACCTCAGCTGACTCCTTTTGACGCGAAGGAGTAGCGGCTCGACTCCAAGCTCCCTCCTGATGACCGAGCTCCTTACCCTATCTCTAAGGCTGAGCCCGGCCACCCTATGGAGGAAGCTCATTTTGGCCGCTTGTAACCGCGACCTTGTCCTTTCGGTCACGACCCAGAGTTTGTGACCATAGGTGAGGGTAGGAATGTAGACCGAGTGGTAAATTGAGAGCTTTGCCTTCCGGCTCAGCTCCCTCTTCACCAAGACGGTCCAGTGCAGCGCCTGCTTTACTGCTGCAGCCGCACCGATCCGTCTGTCGATCTCCCGCTCCATCTTACCCTCACTCGTGAACAAGACCCCGAGATACTTGAACTCCTTCGCTTGAGGTAGGCACTCCGTCCCCACCTGGAGGGAGCAATCCACCGGTTTCCGGCAGAGGACATGTTGGTTGGGTTTAAGAGTTCTTCAAAGTGCTCTTTCCACCGCCCGACGATGTCCCCTGTCCGGGTCAGCAGTTCCCCCCCCTGCTGAGAACAGCCTGGGGTAAGCCCTGCTTTCCCTTCCTGAGCCGTCGGATGGTTTGCCAGAACCTCCTTGAGGCCAACCGAAAGTCCTTCTCCATGGCCTCCCCGAACTCCTCCCATGCCCGAGTTTTAGCATTCGCAACCACCGCAGCTGCAGCCCTTCTGGCCTGCCGGTACCTGTCAGCTGCTTCGGGAGACCCCTGGGCCAACCAGGCCTTGAAGGTCTCCTTCTTCAGCTTGACGGCTTCCCTCACCTCCGGTGTCCACCACCGGGTTCTCAGGTTGGCACCACTGACCTTCCGGCCACAGCTCCTAGCGGCCGCGTCCTCAATAGAGGCTTTGAACATGGTCCATTCGGAGTCCATGTCCCCAACCTCCCTCGGGATGTGAGAGAAGTTCTTCCGGAGGTGGGAGTTAAAGACCTCCCGGACAGGGTCCTCCGCCAGACGTTCCCAGTTCACCCTCACTATACGTTTGGGCTTGCCGGGTCTTTCCAACCGGTTCCCCTGCCATCTGATCCAACTCACCACCAGGTGGTGATCAGTTGACAGCTCTGCTCCTCTCTTCACCTGAGTGTCCAAGACATACGGCCGCAAATCAAATGATACGATTACAAAGTCGATCATTGATCTCCGGCCTAAGGAGTTCTGGTACCAGGTACACTTATGAGCCACCATGGTGTTCGTTATGGCCAAACCGTGGCAAGCACAGAAGTCCAATAACAAGACACCATTCGGGTTAAGATCGGGCAAGCCGTTCCTCCCAATCACCCCCCGCCAGGTTTCTCCGTCATTGCCCACGTGAGCATTGAAGTCCCCCAGGAGAACTATGGAGTCGGTAGGTGGCGCCCTTTCCAGGACCCCTCCCACCGACTCCAAGAAGGCCGGATACTCTGAACTGCTGTTTGGTGCGTAAGCAAAAACCACAGTCACAGCCTTGCTCCCCGCAACCCGTAGGCGCATGGAGGCGACCCTCTCGTTCTCCGGGGAGAACTCCAACACAGCGGCGCTCAGCCGGGGGCTCGTGAGTATCCCCACTCCCGCCCGGCGCCTCTCACCCCGGGCAACTCCAGAAAAGGACAAAGTCCAACCTTTCTCCAGGAGCTTGGTTCCAGAGCCAGCGCTGTGTGTGGAGGTGAGTCCAACTATATCTAGCTGGTATCGCTCCACCTCCTGCACCAGCTCTGGCTCTTTCCCCGCTAGCGAGGTGACGTTCCACGTCCCTAGAGCTAGTCTATGTTGCCGACGATCGGCTCGCCCAGGCCTCCCGCCTGACCCACCGCCCTGTCTGCATTGCACCCGACCCCAATGCTTGTCCCTGCGGGTGGTGGGTCCACAGGGTGGCTGCTCCATGCTGTTTATTCGGGCTGAGCCCGACCGGGCCCCATGGGCGAAGACCTGGCCACCAGCCGCTCGCCGACGAGCTCCCCTCCTGGGTCTGGCTCCGGGAGGGTGCCCCGGTTTCCCTGGTCCGGGCGAGGTGGCTAAAGTCCGTGGGCTGCTTATCATTAGGGTCGTTTGAACCGCTCTTAGTCTGGGCTCTCCCCTGAGACCTGTTTGCCTTGGGAGACCCTACCAGGGGCTAATGCCCCGGACAACATAGCTCCCAGGATCACTGAGCCACTCAAACTCCTCCACCACGTTAAGGTGGCGATTCGCAGAGGAGCAGAGGAACTCTTTTGACAGCTGTTGAATGAAAATAAAAAAGCATGCGTGCATTCATGATGTAGGCTTACCTGCTGCAGCCTAAATCTACTGAAATCAAGCTCAACAATAAACAAAACTAAAACATAGCTCAAAGCAAAAAAAAAAACAGTTCAAAACAACTTTCATTAAAGTGCACGTTTCGTGCATATTTGTCACAGCAGGTCATCTAAAACACAGTAAAAAAAAAAAAAGAAGCATATTTTGTGAACCACAGAGACAGCGTTCCATGCTGCTATGTAACGAACCACTCTACAGACAACAACAATCACATCACAGGCTCTAAACAAGAGCTTTGTAATGTCTGCTGGCTTGAGAGGTGCTCAATGGCATGTAAATATTCCCGCTGATACTACATACTGTTTAACCTGTGGAACTGGTGGCCAGCACACTCAGATGCGCCAAACCTTTCAGTGTTGGGACCATTTCCTTGTGGTCCCTCCACCACTGCAGGGAATCTGATTCACTGTCAGCACCAACAAACTGCAAATAGGCAGGCAACTCTGTTTAAATCCGCTCTCCCTGGGGGGGTGGAGAGAGAGAGGAAGATGATGTTGTTGCCACTTTGAACAAGCTTCTGAGGTTTTTTTTTGTGCTTTTGACAACAGTTTTCATGAGCCTGTGAAGCAGCTGACTTGGCAGCTGTAGCTCCTCCAGTCCACATGTTGAAGTGTCCTTTGACAAGAGACTGAACCCCGAATTGCTTCCAAAGGGTGTGTCATCAGTGTATGGATGTGTGTGTGAATGGGTAAATGTTGGCATGTAATGTAAGACTAGAAAGGTGCTATATAAATGCAAGACCACTGACCATACTTTTTCTGTCCGTGAGAGTGAGTGAGTCATAGGAGAGCGAGAGAAAGGAAGCACCAAAGTGAGTCTCATTCCAGCCTTCAACACATTCTCACCCCAAGCTTATCAAATCCGGCAGCTTGGTCAGCGGCCCTTCACTTTAAACTATGACTCTTTAGGTGCCCCATAGGGTCAGTTTTGGACATGTCAGGGACAGAGTGTCAGTTTCTACTCGCTACAGGCATACAATCTCTTTTTAAGATAAACTTCCAAAATAGGTGTCATTTTATTTTTTTAGGTTTATACGCAACAAAAATATTTGGTTAGGCTCAGGAAAGGATTGTGGTTTGATTAGGTTTGTTACATAAAATAACTATGTTTGTTAAGTAACAGGCGTTAGTTAATTAAGTCCAGAAGTTATGTAACAAAACTACAGTCAAATATGTCAATGTTGACTTGGATTCACAAAAGACAGAAACAAAATCTCTGGGTGAAAGTCCTGTTTGTTTGTTATTATGTAAAATGTAACTAGCAGGCCCAACTCTAACTGTCAAATTAATCTAGTCGAGTAAAAATAACAATATTTTCCTCTGAATGTGAAACCCCAATTTAAAAATAACTAAATAAGTACTAACCCCTTCTTCTTTTGATATTTCTTCACTTTGTGTAACGGAACCTAAGCAATACAGCATCGACAAAAAGAGCAAGATTTTGATTAGCAGGACATAGAAAATAGTATGCCGTCTTCTACTCGTTGCAGCTTTGAGTGTAAAAATGCTTTTATTAAATATGACCTTTGTATTAACTCACATTCACAAATCTGCCTGAGCTCCTGTGATATTATTCCTTTGTGGATTTCATATTGGACTTGAGTCATTTTCAGGATGTGCAATGGTTCACTGAGGAAAAAAAACTGGTGCTGATATTATAATTCAACCCCCAGATGAGTAGCTTACATAGATGTGGACAGATTATGCAGTTCATCCATATATGCAGTGTGTGTGTGTGTGTGTGTGTGTGTGTGTGTGTATTTGCACATGCACATTACTAACTTTGCTTCTTCCCCGGAGTCTTTGCGCTTTCTCCCCTAACAGGTTTCCATGGATCGTGGTTATATCTGGACCCTGGTCCTGCTGACACCCACTGCTACTGTCATTTTTATTATTAGTCACATTAGTATTTCTATTAGTGATAACATTACTGGTTTTATTACCATTTTTATACTACTGTATTCACGGCTACTGTTATTAGGAGTAGTTGTCATTTTTCCATCATTTTGCTTACTACTCATTATATGAATCATTTATATCATATGCATTGAATGTGTTGTGTGTTATGTTGTTGTTATGACATCTATTGCACTGCTGTCCATCCTGGGAGAGGGATCCCTCCTCTGTTGCTCTCCCACAGGTTTCTTCCTTTCTTTTCTCGCTGTTAAAGGTTTTTTTTGGGGGAGTTTTTCCTGTTCCGATGTGAGGGTCGTGGGACAGAGGATGTTGTATGTGTACATATTGTAAAGCCCTCTGAGGCCAATTTGTGATTTTGTGTGATACAAAATGAATTGAATCGAATTGAAATTGAATTATTTGACTTTAATCTGTGTGTGGTGATTTTGTTTCAGGTGATTTTGCACCCTTTGAGACATCGCATGTCCCCGACACAAGGTGGTGTTTGGGTCGCTGTTATATGGATGATGGCCAGCTGCTTCTCCCTCCCTCATGCAATTTACCAAAAACTCCTGACTTTTGCATACAGGTAAAATGATACACACTCAAACATTTCATTAAGGAGAGATTCCGTGGAAGTGTGTAACATTTTTATATTAGGTTGGCAATAGAGGAAGACTTTGGTGATTAGACTCCATCAACGTGAGGCATCTTCATTGAGTGAAAGCCGGTTAAGGATGATTTACGACTTTGACAGAGTAGAAATTTACCCAAAATAAAGGCAAAAATGTGTATTGTATAGTATGTTGAATCTTAGTCAAACAAAGTTAATTGAATAAGTCTCATTGAATAAGGTATAATGGGCAATTTCAGTTTTGGGCCGTTTTATTGACAAAACAATGATCAACAGTATAATCCATAATAAAGCTATTCGTTAGATGCAGGCCTACACTCTCCTGTGACCTAATTCTCATCTTGTTCACTAATCTGTCACTCTTGCTTGCTCTGTACGGTAACGCTCCTCCCCAGCAAGGAAAAGGAGCGCAGTGTTTGTGTCCCAGACTTCCCAGAGCCATCAGATGTCTACTGGCAGTATATTGACCTCCTGACCTTCATATTACTTTACATGCTGCCACTCCTCATCATCACTGCCTCCTACACCACAGTGGCCTGCCGGCTGTGGCGCCACAACACCATCGGTGACACCACAACAGCTCAGCACGCCGCTCAGAGAAAAAAGCGGCGGCGGACGTTGGCCATGTTGCTGCTGGTGGTCGGGGTGTTTGCCGTCTGCTGGTTCCCCCTCAACTGCTATGTGGTGCTGCTGTCCAGCCAGGCCATTCACTCCTCTAACGCCCTGTACTTCTGCTTTCACTGGCTGGCTATGAGCGCCACCTGCTACAACCCTTTCATCTACTGCTGTCTGAATCCAGCCTTCCGCAAGGAGCTGAGGCTCCTCTTCAACATGTGCAGGAGGAAACAGAGGGCGGTGGTCGGGTTGGAGCCAGAGCTCCGCCCCATTGCTCCTCCTTGTCGCAGGACTGCCTGGCCCGACAACCACGAGTCTTCGAGGCCAAGGCATGCTTTGTCACACACGGGCCATGCCTCCTCACAGCAGAGTCACAGCTCCTCCAGTCAATCCCAAAACCTTAAAGATACACATGTGCTCTTCACGGCCAGACAGGTCCTCACAGGAAAAATTGACATCCTCTCAGTGGAGCCTATCGTGGCTGTGAGCTGACTGGAAACAACTGCCACAATGTTTAATGTTGTTGGAAATTGTTAATCCTATTGTCGTCATGTTCCAAAAGGGACAGGAAATCTTAAAAACTCAGAGCTGGCTCGCCGTGTCTATTTCTCTGTGGTTTTAAATGATGTTATCTCTTTTCACAATGCTTTTCACTCAATTTAGGACTCAGCCCTTAAATAATTAGCAACAACTGCCATATTGCTTTTTAAATGCACAACCCTCCTCAACAAAAGTAGTTTGCTTAGTGCAGGGGTATTCAATTAAAATTCAATGAGGTCCAGTTAGAGAGAATTTCCTCATACAAAGGTCCGGAACATCACAATAATGTTTAACTTGTGCTGTGATTTAGTGCTATATGTATTGAAGTAGCCTAGATGTTGTGTTAACGTCTGTATGTAGTCAACAACTGACTGTGACTTGAAAAATGTTACTCTTAAAATAAAGTACTTAATTTTAGAAAAAATAATTTCACTGAATTGACCTGCAGCAGAATTCAGTTCATTCAGGTGTGAAGTGATGTCACCCAAGAAAACTATGATATTTTATTTTTCTCATCTTCTAAAAAGAGAAATTTGTGTGCAGGGACTTTATCTATGGTTATTGGAACCACTTGTTTTAGCTCCATTACCTCTCTTTTAACATCATTGTTGGACAGTAAATTCATGTATTGGATTCTGATCATATTTGGCTCTTAGGTTTATTTTCTGTGCCTTCATGTTGGATTTGAGTTGGTAGGTTTGCTCAAAAGATTTGTGCTTTGTCTCTTTAGTGTCGCTTCACATTGCCCCCTTTTTTTAATCGTCACGGTCTCTGAACATGAGACACACTTGTTTTAAACTGCCCAAGGGAAGAATTAACATTTAAGAGTCCACGCTTCGTTAGAGGCTCTGGTCTCTACGGTCTCTTTGACCACTTTTCTCTTTTTAGAGAATGTCATGTGAAATAACTTCTCTGACTCACCTACTATTTCTCCAACTATTCGCCCCGTCTCTCCCGTGTGTGCAAATCTCACTCGAATCGGGATGTTAATCAGAATACACATATTTGATTGGCTGAGTAGCATCACGTGAGATGATTGGTCGGTGTGTTTCCTGCAACGCTGAACGAGTTCCGTAAAGGCCGGAAAAGCTGCGCCGTTTAAAATAGAAGCGCTCTGTCACGGTTTTAGGTCCGAGGTCCGGATACAACGGCATCTGGGTCTGGATCTGGACCACGGTCTGCCTATTAGTGACCCCTGGCCTAGTTGTTCAAATTTCCATTATTGTCTGTGCACTTTAATGACTTCTTCGCCATGTGGGTTTGTTGGCTAGCTTTAATTTTGGCTGGTTGAAGTATCACAGCAGTGTACGTGACTCATCTTCCTCATCGTAATCTCTGTAGCCTTGTATTTGCTTTAAAAGTACTTTTACAATGAGAGAAAGTTGACAATCCTGAGAGAAATTTATGATGATGCAGAATAATTATGACCACTTTAATTTTGGTTCAAAAAAGCTTTCAAAAAAAGAAAGCTTGCTGGCGCATCACAGTGTGCACTTTGAGGTGGAACATCAGAGCATGCTCACAGTTCATTTAACATTGCTCATTGTATATAATGCACATGTATATAATCATATGCTTGGAATATGTAACATATGCTCTGACCGTTTGATAGGCTATTAAATAGCCCACTGTGCTACTTTGGATGCTATAGAATTGGAAGGCAGAATATTTCTTTATGTACCACAGGTACATGACAACAAGGACTACAGTCTCTTCGTTGCTGTGAATTTCATTGTTAATTAACATAGATGTTTAAATGGACAGCAACAATCTCTCGAACCTCCATTCAAAGGGAGAATACAACTAAGCAAACAAACAACTTAATGACCTACCTTTGTGACTGCCAGCTCTCCAACTGTTACACTTTTCACCTTTTTCATGCCTTCGCAGGTCTGAGTCATGTTGACACCTTTTGTATAGTGTGTATGTGGTTAGGTTTTTCTGCCAACGAAAGGCAGAAAAGTGGAAGTGTTTTTCCTTGCTGGTCATCTTTGTATGTTACTTTTTCTGCTGTCTGCCACAGTCTAATTTTCAAAACCATGGAGAATTTTAATTGGTAAAAACACATTTCCCTTTTGCAAGACAGGTACTGTTCCATCACGTCACATTACGGATCTAAGAGAACATGAAGTCCAATAACATTTTGAGGGTTTTCAACCCAAGCGGCTGAAAGGACAACCGTAAATGTACTGCAGATGGTTTTCAGAACGTCTGGAGTAAAAGGGAACTGCAGCATTTAGCTGTGAAAAAAAGCTAATATTTTTCCAAACATCATATCAGCGGTGTCTTCACATTCAGCGCATTCTTTGCAGCTGAACAAAATGTAATAGAAATGTGCATTCATCAAACATTTATACAACAAAAAGCACTAATGGCAGTGAAAAATACAGAAAATATTGAACAAAAGATATTCTATGTTTAAATGTTTTTTTTTACCTACATGTGGATGTTTTAAGTGAAAGAAAAATTGCTGAAATTTGTACTACTGAATCAATTGCTTTATTATCATTTGTTAGTTTGTTGTTTGGCAGGAAATTATCAATATGCCATGTATGTAGATGTCCACAGTTAATGGTTCAGGAATGTGAATACCAGTATATGTTTTTTTGTGTTTGTGATTTTATTGTTATTTTGCAGTTGCAGGTGAATGTTTGACACCATGGCACCCCTATCTTATGATAAAATACATCAGAATCAAATTTAACTTAATTCGAAGCATTGGGTTTGACTGTTCGGACTTAGAATTACTTTTTTCTGGAAATATAAAAAGGCACTGATTGAGCTATAACAACTGCTTAGATTCTTAACATACCATTGGGAAAAAAGAGCATTTCCACCACAACCTACCTTCAAAGACAATGGAGAATGGGCATACATATAATATGTCTGTCCTGGGAGAGGGATCTCTCCTCAGAAACTCCTCTTGAGATTTCCTCCTTTTTTTTTTCTCCAGTTAAAGAGTTTTTCCTCATCCGAAGCAAGTGCCAATGGACGAAGGGTGTCATACAATGTTTGATGATTGTAAAGCCCCCTGAGGCAAATTTGTGATGTGTGGTTATTGGATTATAAATAAAATGTACTTGACTTGATTAACACACCAGATTTCATGAGATTCCTTGCTATTCCTGATAAGAAAAAGCAGATCAGCAAACACAAAACACAGTACATACAGAATAATAATGGGGAGAGCTGCTGTGTAGAAACCTTTCCATACTTTCATAGCACAAGGCATATTTTGCTCTTGATGGTATTCATTTTTGTCCGAGTGACAGCACAGAAAGTATGATGCTCCAGACAAGCGACCTGTGGGACTAACAAGGTAGCAAACAGGCTTTTGTGTAGCTGGAGGGAGAGAACGCTCTAATCCGATGGGTCGAAGCAGCAGAGAGACCAATATGAACACAGGAATCCATAACTATATGAAGAAATAGGTTTGTTTTTCCGTACCCTCCAAAAGAACATCAAGCTTCCATTTAATAACTTGAATTTTTTTCCAATTGTTGCCATGGTTACGGTTATGGTTATGTTTTAGGTGAATACCATTCTTGATTAAAGGGGCATTCCTGATAATGGTTGAGGGAAACTGCGATAATTTCAAAGCTGCTATGATTGATATATTATTATTAACAATGACTTACATGACTCGTGCAGATCTCCCACAGCAACAGCCACTGTTGTATTGTTTGAATGAACACACCCCCCCGTCTAGAGCGCAAGTGTATCAAATGTGTTTTTCATTCTCAAGTCTCACACAGCAGATACACTCTCTCATTTTAATCAATACACTGGCCCTGGCCAGGTGTGTGTCTCAGCTCCGACCTACAGGCACAACCGTGACTTCACAGCAATTGTTTTAGGCTTCAAGTCTATTTTTTTCGACAATACAAGTGAAAACGGCAGGCTGATGCCCAATAATAAGGTACGGAACAATTACTTTTGCAAAACACATTTGCAAAATATCCCTGGAACATAATTGAGATCCTGGTTCCTGCTGTGGAAACACAAGGAGATTCTTAAATTGTTCCTATTCCCAGAAAGCATAATTGCAGACAAGGTGCCTCTGCCTCCACGATCATGCTGGGCCTTTCAATGATTTTGGTATGAGGTTTGATGAAAAGTGTAGACATGCTATGAGTCAATTGTGAGCCAGTTTAATAAATAGCCACTGAGTTTCTGACAGAGAACATTTGGCCTGTGGATGCAAAGTGAGCAAAGGCTAAACAACATTTCTCTTCCCTCAGTCAACAAAGTTTATGGATTTTGTACAGACATTCAGAGCAATTAGAAAATGGATCATACTGCTCTCATGATCCCTGAGTTTTTTCTCAAAGCCAACATGTGGTTGTCATTTTTTTGTTTTGTTTACTACTGAATGAAGTGCCATGAAATTGGGCACAGACATTCATTTTCCCAGAGAATGAAATGTAATAACTCTGGTTAAAATCGACTTTTAATTGAGCAACATCATCAGGTTACATTTTCACTTCATCCAATGCTTTGATGTTTGACCATACACTAACGGGTTACCGATAACTCAGCTCAACTCAGTTACCGATAACTCAGCATGAGAGTGAAGAACAGCGGTGGGATTCATAACAATGCTGTTAACCAGGGTAAGACACCCTCTTTAAGAACATTATCTATTTTTTTGGAAATATTTATACACTATATTTACACAAGAACTATGCTCAAGTAAACACATTAATATGGTTACTATATCATCACAGACGACAACTTTGTTATTATAAAACAAAATGTAAAATCTTGCAACGGGGAAGTTTTTTTAAATTTTGACATTGCTCTTACTTGAACTGCAACATAAATGGTACCTAATGCACCCCTTAAATAACAATGCATTTATTTATAGCTATTATGTTGTTGTGTATACTTTCTCATTAGCATTGATGCCAATGGGAGGGGCCTGAGCAATATATCAGGAGGGGGGGTGGTCA